TCCATTACAGATCAAGTGTATTATAACACACAGGCCAATCAAGCCACGCGATTGCCACCGATAAGACGCAGTATTTCTAGTGGGCATCGAAACAGTTGAGGCATTTCAGGTTTCCCATATAGTGTGTCAGCTCGATGTGGTAGTAGAAGTAGCAGTCTAGGCAGGAGTTGTAGTAGCAGTTGTTTCCCTGTTTGTTGCTTAACGCCGCACTCAGATTTTTTTCTGCTATATGACGACTGTCTGTAAAAACAAATCCAGTCTCGACCGGAAGATCCAGTGACTGACATCATGAGCATCGCAATTGGAAAACGATGACATGCATCACCGACATTGAACCACGCGGTCCCGTTAGTCACCTATTACGACAAGCATGGGTTGCTGTAGACAATTAGTGAGTGAGTTTGGTTTTACGCCGCTTTTAGCAATTTCCCAGCAATATCACGGCGGGGGACACCAGAAATGGGCTTCACACATTGCACTCAAGTGGGGAATCGAACCCGGGTCTTCGGCGTGACGAGCGAACGCTTTACCACAAGGCTAACCCACCGCCCCTGTAGAGAAGTAGTGGTAGTGGGGAGGCCTTTTGTAATGATAAAGTAATCGAAGGGGTGCAAAAATAATAGGCATCGAAAAAGAAATGAAACTTGAACTTTAATTTTTGTCGATATCTATTATTAATGCTATTTCGTGAACGGCAGGGAGACTTGTAGATCTCTATTTCTACTGATCCATTGTGACGTCAGGTTTCAAATGACAGCAGATTATCCTGGAATGTCGGATACTGTCCACAGACGGGTCCCGCCACACCTGCAGATAGCCATGTCAGCGAGCAGACGACCAGTTCTGGGAATGTCGCCATCGCGTGTTCTACATATAGTTACATAAGAGGTCTCTGGTTACATGTACAGCAGGTGAAGTACTGTTCCGGGTCACCGTCAGATCAATAGGATGTACTCTGACACTGTGTGAGACATTCACACATGACGTGGGAAGATTTATATCCCTGACAGTAGCGAGCATACGTGGATCTCGTGCCGAATGGCTATGTGGCCTTGAAATGTGATCACGATTGAGCGGATACTGGGAAAACACACAAACACGCACGCACGCACGCACGCACGCACGCACGCACGCACACCCGTGTGTGTGTTTACACATATAGGTACTTGTTAGCATATTCTAACGCATCATGTATGCGAAAACTAGGCTACCAATGGGATCGGGTGGTCAGGCTCGCTGACTTGGTTGACACATGTCATCGTATAGGTCACATCTGGGATACTCTACAACAGGCCTTATATAGTCCCCCTGGTCACATCGAATGTTGTCGAGTTAGACATTGAATAACAAACACATCGGTTACAGTTGTCTGAGATAACGTATATATCACATCGTGTGGGCTTCGTGTGCCTGGCTATGGTGTTTTAATACACCAATGACGCCGGCGATATCCAATGCTTGTCTCACACATTCGTCACACAAGGAGGGGAAGGCAACATGTAAAGATTTTACATACGCATCATGTATACTGTCATACTGTGGCGCTTAGTTAGCTTGTTTTTCTTGTTTAATCGTATTCAGCAATGTTCCAGCTATATGGCGATGGTCTGTAAATAATCGATACCAAATAATCCAGTGACCAACAGCATGAGCATCGATCTACGCAATTGGGATACGATGACACGTGTCAACCAAGTCAGCGAGTCTGACCACCCGATCCTGTTAGTCGCCTCTTACGACAAGCATGGGTTACTGAAGATCACACCCGTGAAGGTCCGGTTTGAGTGAACCTTCAGCAACCCTTCGGCACTACACAGTATTCAAGCGGTCTGTAAATAATCGAGTCTGGACCATACAATCAAGTGATCAACAGCAGGAACATCGATATACGCAATTGGGATAGGATGTCAATATGTAACTAGCGTAAACCATTCTAGAATGTCAGACAGAGGCCAGTGGTGATGAAGATATGTTTTGATTAGTTTGAGACCTTCCCAAAGGCTCTAGGACTGGGGGGTAGCATAGTAGTTAAAGCATTTGCTCGTCACAGTGATGACCCGGTTCAATTCCCAACATGAAGCCCGTTACTGGTGTCCCTGTCGTGACATTGCTAGAATATTGCTAAAGGCAGCTTAAACTCACCCACTCACTCACCCCAGGTGTCCTTAACACAGCTGTAGTTCTAGATAATTACAGAGTTAACATTTTGCAAAATGCTGAGTAAACAACATTCACAAACTCGTTGATATATTTAATACATATAAATGGAAGTTTTACACTTCCCTACCTTGTTACCATGGTTACATGACATCACCACACGCACATATTTATATCATCTAAAGGTGCTATGGGTTTCCTTGCAGATAAAATGTTTGCCCATCCTAATGAAGACCCAGGTTTGATTCCCGACATGGGTCCAATTCTTTATGCCAAGTTTAGCTATCACCTGTCACCATATTGTTAGAATATAACTGCAGGCATACATGATCCTTTCAAATGGATGAGTGGCTAGTAAGTACTCCAGGGTGCCCTTGTACAAAACGACCGCCTCAGTGGTGTAGTGGTTAGAGCGTCCGCCCGGAGAGCGGAAGGTCGCGGGTTCCATCCCCGACCGCGTCATACCAAAAGACGTTAAAATATGGTACTTGTTGGTCCCTGCCTGGCGCTCGGCATTAATGGGTACAACAAGGACTGGTCGGCTTGGAGTCAGTATAATGTGTCTGAGTGGGGTATTCATGCTTCACTGCGGCGTGGTGTCTCAGTGGGCTAGCACTATAAAACCAGCTTCAGTCTGGGCTAGTACAAGCAGCCGCACATACACATACACACGCATGCATGTCGTCATATGAGCGAAATATTCTCAAGCACAACGTAAAACCCAGTTTCACCTCACCTCACCTTGTACAAAACAACCTTAGCAACCTATGTTAAGGTATGGGAGTTACCATCACTTTAGCCCTAAGAGACACAGCAGCCAGATTGCTCGTTTCTCCTGCTGGAATTCAACAGACACCTCTTATGTAAGCAGAAGCATTTTATTCAAGCACAGAACAGCACAATTTCATATTTCATGGGTTTTTTTCCGTACATTATTAACTTTTTTTAAAATATTACACAAGAAGACAAAGTCATCAATAACCCCTGCAATGGCAAAATACTCTTCATGATTATGTCTACGAGTTATGATTATGTGAAATATTTAGGTGTGTATATAGAAAAGTGGAAGGAGAGTATTGAAAGGTTTTTAAAGTTCTGCTCCAAAAGGAGCACTATCACCAATTTCAGTCTATGTCAAACTCGTTGCCATGGAAATGCCAAAAATATTTTATTCAGAATTCCAAAACTACCAAAAAGGAACCAGTACACCACCAGGCCAGTTTGGTGAAGAAATAGTGAACGGTTTTAGAGTTCAGCTCCGGAAAAGAGCACTACCACCAATTTCAGGCTAAGTCAAACTTGTTGCCACGGAAAAGCCAAAATATTTTATTCAGAATTCCAAAACTACCAAAAGGCACCAGTACACCACCAGATCTATCTATGTGCCAAGTTTGGTGAAGAAATAGTGAACGGTTTTAGAGTTCTGCTCCGGAAAAGAGCACTACCACCAATTTCAGGCTGTCAAACTTGTTGCCATGGAAATGCCAAAAATATTTTATTCAGAATTCCAAAACGACCAAAAGGCACCAGTACACCACCAGACAAATCTATGTGCCAAGTTTGGTGAAGAAATAGTGAACGGTTTTAGAGTTCTGCTCCGGAAAAGAGCACAACCACCAATTTCAGGCTAAGTCAAACTTGTTGCCATGGAAACGCTAAAAATATTTTATTCAGAATTCCAAAACTACCAAAAGGCACCAGTACACCACCAGATCTATCCATGTGCCAAGTTTGGTGAAGAAATAGTGAACGGTTTTAGAGTTCAGCTCCGGAAAAGAGCACTACCACTAATTTCATTCTAAGTCGAATTTGTTGCAATGCAAACGCCAAAAATGTTTAATTCAGAATTCCAAAACTACCAAAAGGCACCAGTACACCACCAGATCTATCTATGTGCCAAGTTTGGTGAAGAAATATTGAACGGTTTAGAGTTCTGCTCTGGAAAAGTCAAATGTGCACAGACGGACGCACGGACGGAGTCCATTTTAATACCCCCCGCAAAACGCCTTGCGGGGGATAATAAAAAACACATTAAAAGACTGAATACCTTATCATCAACCGCTGGATTATTACAAAAGGTGAATACACTTTCTGATAAATCTCAAGGTACTTGTACAAAACAAAAGATAAACAGTAAACTAAAAGAAATGTAAGCTAGCATGCATATCTAAAAATAGGAGCACTTATGTAGGAGAGCACTTAAAACTGGACAGTGCTAAGATAACAGCACGTAAAGATGATAGCACTTAAATAGGGCAGATCTTAATCTACAAGATCTTCTACACAGTAAAGATGAGGATCATCTATCTGTCAGTTTGTATCTCAAAGACAGGAAACCACTCAATTGTAAGAACTTGACTTCATGTTTCATCGTACACAGAATCAACAACTTCTACTTTAAAGCACTATGGTTTAAAAAGGCCACTAACACAATGGAAAACCACATACAAAACAGTTTATGCATATTAATGATAAAGAAATTAAAACTGATATTTTCTATTCCACAAAATGTCAAGAAAATGGTAAATGTACATAATCATTTGAAATTGTCTACAGTTATTAAAAGATTGAATACAAATTTTTGTATTTATTATTTATTTATTTCTACTATTTTATTTTGTATTTATTTTATTTTCATTTCATTTAGTTATTTGGGGGGGGGGGAAGAGGTTTAAACAAATAGGAAAAAATTGAAAAAGCAGTCTACTGTAGATCAAATGCGTGTTGTGGGTGTGTGCATGCATGTTGTTGTCGGGGGATTGCATGCACGAAAGTTAAGGTGTTTCAGAGAAAAGGTCTTTTTCCGCAAAACTAGTCATGGTTTTTAAGTCCAAGAGTTCGGCAGCTTGTCTTCCTCCGCGTCGGCCTTGCTCGTCATACCACTTGCTGTGAGGCTACATTGTCGGTGGTAGGGGTCAGCGGACTTTCGCCTCAGCAGCTTCTGACAAAGGCTGTACTTGATATCCTTCCCTCCACCTGGGGGCACTGGTTCCTTCAGCGAGATTTCTGATAGTGTTAGATCGGAGGTCATCAGGGATGTCATAAGGATGGTGGCAGAACCGTTGGCAGGACGACTGTGGAAAGAAACATGTAATCAGAACATACAGTAATGGCTGAAGATAACAAATATCAAAATGAACTAAAAATCCAGTTACATATATTGTGTATTGAATCATGGCTGAATCATGGTATGTGTAAAAACCTGGAATCAAAACCTGGCTGAATGAAACTTCCTTAAACAAAAGACATCAAACAGGGAAGGGAGGTGAAAGGAACAGCCATGACCCTGACCTTGATGTGACACAGACTGAAGCATTATTTTTGTAAATACCATGAATCAAACCCAACTGAATGAAAGTTCCAGAAACAATAGACATGAATCTGAGCAGGGAGGTGAAAAAAGCAGCTGTGACCCTGACCTTGACCTTGTTCTTGGAGCTGGATGTACAGCAATGCCTCCTCTGCTGTCAACCTGATTTTGGGATCTCCAACCAGAAGACACTGCAGCAGTTCATGGGTCTTTACAGGCAGGTCGGCTGTGATGCCCCAGACCTGGATGTAATTAGGATTCTTTGCAAGCTGAGGAAAAGAAGGGCAAAATGTGCTAAATGTTGGGTATGGCACAAACTGAATTGACACAATGAGAACCTTAATTACTGGAAAGTAGGATTGTATTGTTTGTTGTTTAACTCCGCACTCGGCACTTTTCCAGCTATATGACAGTGGTCTGTGTACAATCAAGCCTGGACCAGACAATCCAGTGATTGACATCATGAACATCGACCTACGCAGTTGGTATGCGATGACGTGTCAGTCAACCAAGTCAGCAAGTCTGACTATCTGATAGTCGCCTCTTGAGCCAACCATGGGTTGCTGGAGACCAATTCTAACCCAGATCTTTTGTGTGTGCGTGCATGGATGGGTGGGTGTTTGGGTAGGTGGATGGATGGATGGATGGATGCAGCACAACCATCTTTTGCAGGACAATCAAAGTATTGGAGGGTTTACATTGCCTTCTGTTCAATATTCATGAATGTGCGTGACAAATCTTCAACTAATATTCATCTGACTTTAAACGGAATTAATTTCTATTTCCATTTAACAAGCAGGCAGTATTTAACATAGAAACACTAAATTAGCACAACAATTGCCGTCCACTAAAAACGTCAAATACTCACATGGGCAATGAATTTTGGTCGAAGTGCAGCAAACTGCTGAGCACTGCACAAGCTCAGCAGGTCTTTCCACAACAGAAAGACAGTGTGTTGTCCCTGAAGCATGTAACAGATCGTCAGACCGAACGCAAACACGTCCGACTTGCCCGTGATGTCTTCGGCTAGGAAACATTCAGGGAAGACCGACCCCTTGGCAGCGTAGTACTGTCTGCTGGCTTCTGGGGACATGTACTCTGGTGTCCTGCCACCACAGCCGATTGCAGTCTCGGGCGTCTTGCTCGTTCCAAAATCTGTCAGTTTGATGACCGGTGAATTGTCCCCTTCATAAGCGATGCAAATGTTGTCCGCTGAAAATCGATATCATTGAAAATGGATGAAAGGTGACGGATCAAAAAGGTTTTTGCTAACACCCAACTATTCAAATACTCAAGGTTTACCTGACTTAACCTTCTATGAAAGTAGATAAAATGTAAAATTGCAACTACTCAATCACAGCCAACATGAACAGCATTTCATGGATAAAATGTGGATGATCACTACGGAATATTGCAACCACTAAACCTCCAAAACATTCAAGTTTTACCTGATGCAGCATTTCATGGATACAATGTGGCGGATTACTTCCTATTATTGCAACCATTAAACCTCCAAAACACTCAAGTTTCACAATCTTCTAAAGATGTCCACCTGTCCCTCCACAGAGATTTTCTTTTCGCAGTAAAAATGTAATTTTAGAGTAAAATTGATATTTTATACTTATCCTGACTCATGCTCTTTTTGCTTATCTTCTTCTTCTTGCGAACATAGTGGAACACTTGTATCTCCCTAATTGAAGCTCCCTTCAATGTAAAATCATTAATTAATACACCACGAGTTACCTCCCTTCCACAAGCGCGGGAACGAGGGCGCCACCTCTACCCATGTGCCTCACTCTCTTCTCATATACTGAGCCCAACATTTGAATTTACAGGGAAATCCAAAGTGTTATGTGGGGAGGATGGGAGGGCTTACCTCATGAGTCAGGATAAGTATAAAATATCAATTGTACTCTAAAAAATTACATATTTTTCCTTATCCTGACTCATGCTCTTTTTGCTTGTAGAATCCTACGGCAAAGGAGGTGGGAATATATAATACTTTGGATTTTAATAATTAGTGATTTGAACTGTGATGATTGTAATAACCCTATGGGAACTTCATAAAGGCACTGAACTGATGAATTCCTGCTGCTAACTTATCAGCTGCCATATAAAGGTTATTACAATGTACTTAGTATGATAAAGTATATATAACATTAATACAATGCTTAAGACTAATAGACTTAAGCTTGTTAATATGCTAGTATAAACTCCTTAGAGTTTGTTAGCTAAAATACTTAAGATATAAACATAGTACTAAGCATAAGATATGATTAAACTTAAGCTAATTATATAATAGTAAAACTCTTTAGAGTTTTTTTTTTTTTTGTTTTGTTTTAGTTAATATACTTATATGATATAGATATAATGCTGAGCTTAAGATATGAATAAGCTTTAGCTACATATATAATAGCAAAACTCTGTAGAGTTTGTTAGCTAATATATTTTTACAATATGAGTATAGTACTGTGCTTAAGATATAATTAACTTAAGCTACATATACAATAGCCAAAAACTCTGTAGAGTTTATTAGCTAATAGATTTATAATGTAACCATAGTACTAAGCTTAAGATAAGATTAGACTTAAGCTAAATGTATATAGCAAAAAACTCCTTAGAGTTTATTAACTAATATACTTTTATGTTATAAACATAGTACTGAGCTTAAGATATGATTAAACTTAAGCTATATATATAATAGCAAAACTCCGTAGAGTTTTGTTAGCTAATACATTTTATAATGTAACCATACTGCTTAAGATATGATGAAACTTAAGCTAATTGTATAATAGCCAAAACCCTTTAGAGTTTGTTAGCTAAAATACTTATATGATATAAACCTAGTATTGAGCTTATGAAGGAAACCTTAAGCTACATATATAATAGCAAAAACTCCGTAGAGTTTGTTAGCTAATACATGTTATAATGTAACCATAAAGCTTAAAATATGATGAAACTTAAGCCAAATATATAATAGCAAAAACCTCTTTTAGAGTTTTGATAGCTAATATACCTATATGATATAAACATAGTACTGCGCTTAAGATATGAATAAGCTTAAGTTACATATATAATAGCAAAAACTCCGTAGAGTTTGTTAGCTAATACATGTTATAATGTAACCATATTGCTTAAGATATGATGAAACTTAAGCCAAATAGCAAAAAACTCTTTAGAGTTTGTTAGCTAATATACTTATATGATATAAACATAGTACTGAGCTTAAGATATGAATAAGCTTAAGCTACTTATATAATAGCCCAAACTCTGTAGAGTTTGTTAGCTTATATATTTTTACAATATGAGTATAGTACTATGCTTAAGATATAATTAACTTAAGCTACGTATATAATAGCCAAAAACTCTGTAGAGTTTGTTAGCTAATGCATTTATCATGTAACCATAGTACTACTCTTAAGATATGATTAACTTAAGGTAAATATATAATAACCAACTCTGTAGAGTTGTTAACTTATATATTGTATGATGTAATAATCATAGTACTGTGATGATAAAAAGAACTTAAGCAAATTATATATAGCATGTAGCTATTTAGTACTGTTATAAGATAAGTAGAAATCTGTAAGATTGATTTATCTTCTCCGAGGAACTGTCAACTGTTGTGCGAGGACCATGGGATCGAATTGGTGGATACCTGAGACGTCCTCGGTGGTGATATCTCTCAGATAATGGTTGGCAACCACCATATCGGATCTCCAGAAATAAACCCTCCATTATTTCAAATAACATTTGTGTAGATCAATTGTAGAAGTTAGAGCTCTAATGTCATGAGTATTAAAAGCTCATGGAGGGTCGGATTGGGTCCATCCGTCTTGTATGCACGTAGTATGACAGTTCTGATCCAAACGGAGATATAGTACGTGAGACTTCATTCTGCGTAAGTTGATGATAGAGGAAATAATCTGTTGCATTTTTTCCCTCCTGTTTGGTTCGGTGGAGATAAATTTACAGTGCTCTTGCTGGCCATCGTGATAGAATCATCGTATCATGGAGTCCAAGTATGTCATCCAGGCGTGTTCATAAACCTCACTTGTGAGGTGTTGGAGCACTATATTCAGATCCCCAAGTTGGAGGGTGAAACTTCCGTTTTAATTCTCCAATCAGAAAGCTTAAGTAGGTTTACTAACCATCTAGTTGTGTTAGTAGCTTGATGATGAAATTCAGCTGTAGTCTGAGACGCTGTGGATTTAGATCCACTTGTATCCCGTCGTCTAGGTTATTCGCTGCGAAGTCCTTGACGATGTAGGTGCACAACCAGGTGTGTCTGTCCTCGTTGAACTTTATGTAAAATCGCCTGACTGCCGTGCCCTCGTCCTAACTTGACAGGGAGGTGTCTAACCTGAAGAAAGCAGCCCAATCATGAAGGTTCAGATTAACTGGACTGTAAGGAGGCTTGCTCGTTCACTGATATATAGTTGTCACTTGTAACGTAAGTCTTGAACTGTGAACTAAGATCGACTTCTGCGTAGGTCGTTGTCCAACGCGGTCCAATCAGAACAAGGCATTTTGATTCTGTAGAATACCCGCGCTGTGATGTCACCGGTGTAGCAGGAAAAAACCTTGTATAAAATCTTGCCGTCGTTGATATTAGCATAATCGTCGGTCTTCACCGTAGCTTCCCGAAGTTACCCGAGTGACCACGTGTTTCGAGGGTTAAAGGTAAACGCGCGAAACCTCCGGCGCGAAATACCTCGCTCTGTAATATTAATGCTGGGTAGGTTATTTTCCTGGCTGTCGTGAAAGTAACTTCAGTTTTGAATATAATTCCGACTTCCTTATATAAAGGTACAATAAACTTGCAAGTTGTCAGCTTGTAGACTGTATACATGAATGTATCGTCATAATTGTAGAATTAAAGCTGAACTTGTTGTACATATTTCTTCTCAGAAACTTTGACGATTATGAGTTATACTCGCTGTAACAAGGCTGCTGTTCAATTTCGATATTGAATTGTCTGCAGATCTGCGTAATGGTCACGCATGTAGATAATCGTATCGTAGTCCGGGATTGCATATTCTAGCAATCTATACGGAAAGGTTGATTCCTGTGAAGATCTATGAAACGTCGTTGACTAATTAATACAGCGACGTTCTGTGTTGTAAATAGCCTGTGCAATTGTCTTCGCGTAGGCTTATAGACGGCATATGGCATACAGTTGATAGACAACTTATGCGATGTCTTGAACGGACTGACGAGTAGCTATATATGACGAGTGGCTAATATATGGAGACCTTGGAGGAGATTTCCTCGGTGGACGCCGGAGACTTCGCGAAGCTCTCGAAGTATCCATTCTAGATTTTCTGTGTGAAGTAGACTTGGAGCCACTTAGCCTTCGCGAAGGTATCGAGTCAGAGCCCGATCAGTATATATATATATGAGCGCTTGCTTCGCGAACGACCTCTGTGTTCAACAGGAGTGAGTGAGTGAGTGAGTTTAGTTTTACGCCGCACTCAGTAATATGTGGGGTCGGTGAAGCGCTACTCCTCCGCGACGTCCCTTGTAACTGGTGAGGCTCTAGCTCCTTCGCGGAGGTGGCCTGGGACTTCCTTAGAGAAGTGTCTAGAGTCCGATCAATATATGAGCGTTAGCTTCATACAGGGTGTGGTTCTTGCTAGTTCTGCATAAGTAGAGCCGAGTAGATCATCCTATCATCTTCAGAAGTCGTGTCACGAAATCTGGTGATAAGAATCTCATTGATCGTTCTAGATCTATTAAGGCCAAGAACATACGCCTCTGGCGTTTGAACTTTTATGGCTTTATGGTAGACTGTGTCCACATTCTGTGGCACCGCAGCAATCGAGTTGATCGGAGGTAAGGTGATGGCATCTGCATCGTCTTCCTTTATCAGGTATGTCTGCGCCGAGTTGCCACTCTTGGAAGGTGAAGAGAGATCTAGGTTGTTTACCATCCAATATCGTATCTCAGCGTCTGAGAAAATGATGCCTCCATCATCTTCTATCCCAGCATCGCTGATGAGAGGTTGATGCTCTTCTGATGGTGGACTGTGTATATCTATCTCTATGTCGGGTGACGCTCGGGGAGACCTGACTGTAGACTTGTGTGCAGACTTGTGTGGTGACCTGTGAGGCGATCGACGTGGTGATGTACGAGGAGATCGGCGTGGTGAACGGCGAGGAGATCGTCTTGGTGATCTGCGTCTATGGGTTGACCTTCTCGGAGACCTGTGAGGAGAATGTTGATAGCTTCGCGAAGCTCTTGTGTAGTCAGGTGTCCTTCGCGAAGGCCTTCGCTAAGCTTCCTCTGCGTCCGGTCCTGGGGAACGGCGACTTGACCTTCGCGAAGGCTTCCGTGAGGTCTGGTGGTCTGAGTCCGCATCTAAGGATGAAGCCGAGGAAGGTGATGATCTATCCCGCTAAGGCTGTACATCTGGGTCCGCCGTCCGAGGTGGTCTCGCGACTTTCTTCGCGAAGGTGGCTTCGTCGTGGCTGCTACGCTGACGGGGGTGCCTCTGGGGTGTCGTCTGCGTTGGAACCTTCGCGAAGGCTCAGGCCTTGGGCTGGCTGCTTCTCCAGTCTGTAGTGGCCCTCCATCATGATCATGATTTGCCGCAACAGTTCATCTGGGATGGTCTGCGACGAAGTAGTCGGTGCCCTCTCTGCGATGTTAGCGGCGGGGCCCTCAGGGAAGTCGTCTGACGTCAGTGTAGAGACATCAGGCTGCATGGCGATCTCTGCTGATGTCACTGTAGCTGTCTCCGGTCGCTTCTTGTGGCATACGTCGGGGATGATGATCGGCTGATCATCGTAGAGGCCCAGTTCAGCGGCTGGAACAATCTCGGTTGAGAAAGTCCTAGTAGACTTCGTTGATTTCCCCTCAGAGGTCGACGCTGCCCTGGGGGTGCGAAGTCTGCGTTGAGTGTTGGTAGCGACGGGACCCTCAGGAAGATCATAGAATATCAGCGTTGGTACATCAGGCTGCATGTTGATCTGCGCTGACATCACTGTTGCCGACATCGGTCATTCTTTTGATGTACATCAGGTATGATGATCGGCTGATCATCATACAGGCCCAAATCTGCGACGGGAACAATCTCGGCTGAGAAGTTCAAGTAGACTTCGTTGATTTCCCCTCAGAGGTCGCGTTGAGATGCAGTAGAAGCCCTCTAGTCTTCGGCTGCGACGATGGGATGTCTGGGGAAGCAGGACGCTTCTTGGAGGCGGCGGACTACGTCCCACGCCTCTCCACCACTCTAGCGGAACACCAGACGGGAGGGGGGTCGACCAACAGCAGTAGACTGGCGAGGGGTTCAGGTGTATCAGTCATGGCTAGACTCTGCATACGCGACCTATCTGCTGCGCGTCTCAAACGCAAAGTAATTATTTATTAAAGGCAGAATTGGATAAATTAGTACCGCAACTGCAACGTGAATAACATGAAACATGGCGCAGTACAGCTAGGGCATATTAAATGCGGATCAGCAGCAGAATAAAAAACGTAATGTGCAACAGTACAGAATTTTTATCAACGTAATCCACTGAAACAACACGGCGTCCCGTGAATAAACAGTAGAAACACGACTAAATATCAATATATAATTGTTGAAGGATACTAGCTAAACCTCTATAGATGTCTATACGAGGTAACTAACTAAATATAATCAAAGGATATAGTGTGTCGGGAGACACAGGCGCTCTCACGTCCAGCTCACTGGGCGAAGAAGGAGAGAGTGAGGCACATGGGTAGAGGTGGCGCCCTCGTTCCCGCGCTTGTGGAAGGGAGGTAACTCGTGGTGTACTAATTAGTGATTTTACATTGAAGGGAGCTTCAATTAGGGAGATACAAGTGTTCCACTATGTTCGCAAGAAGAAGAAGATAAGCAAAAGAGCATGAGTCAGGATAAGGAATTATGATTTTAATGTGATTGCAAGATATATACATGTATAGAATATACTACTCACGCTTGATGTCGTGATGCAGGATCTTAAACACGGTGTGCATGTAGGCCAGGGCTGAGAAGCCCTGCATGGCCATCCTCATCACGACGTCCGGTGTCCACCGCTCCCGCCAGTTGGCATTGGTCGCAATGAAGACTGACAGGGACACACCTACAAGGTCAGCAAAATGTGTGAGTGAGTGAGTTTGGATTAACGTCACTGTAAGCAATACTCCAGCAACATTAGGGCAGGGAGACACCAGAAATGGGTGTCACAAAATGTACCAACGTTGGGTATCGAACCCGGGTCTCTGACGTGACGAGTGAACGCTTTAACCACTAGGCCACCCCGACACCCCAAAAAGCATTAGTGACTCCTGGACATAAAACAATTTGCCTTTGACACACTCAGCCAGAGAAAAACACTATTTTTGTCAAAAGTTTCGGCTCATAAGTTTAGAGGTATTTTGGGATTGTATTTTCATAATATTTTAAATTCAACAAACATAAACTAAGCCTTACAGCCCCATCCTCTTTACTTGACATGCTACAGTGCTTCAGCCAGAATTTTTCTGAGTGTTGCCAACTGCCATCATAACTACTAAAATGTGTGCCAATGCAGTTGAGACTTTTGCCATTCATGGTAACCATGGTATAGAAGACCTGTGGATTATATTAAATGTTGTGCCAATGCAGTTGAGACTTTTGCCATTCATGGTAACCATGGTATAGAAGGCCTGTGGAATATATTACTTGTTGCGCCAATGGGTGCGCTCTAGCATTGAAAAAAAAAGTGACACTGCATATTTTTTAATGTCAGTGGCACAATGGCTTGCCTGGCTGAAGTACTGCATGATATCATAATGATTTTCATCAAGGGCAGAAATTTAGTACCATTTTGGTGACAGATTCAGGTAAACAAAATGGACTGACAGGAGGTCAAAGGTTGAACCCACCAGCATACCCATGAGGATCTCATGCTGACCTTCCCGGAAAGATGTAGCCAAGGAAACCTGTGATGTTGGGATGGCAGGAGTGTTCAGCACTTCAACTTCCTTCTTCGGAATCGAGCAGAAATCTAGCAACAAATACGGCAGTCCACACTAGTTTGTTTCTTTGCATTTGTGTTTGTTTTTGCCGAATGCAACAGTCGGCAATAGTCCAGCTATGCGGTGCCAGTTTTTAAATAATCACAATTGAGAGATTGATAGCACGAGCATCAAAACATGCAATTGGAACATGATGCCATGTATTACCACTTGAACATGTTGAAAACATATTTACAGATGGTTTGAGTTCAGTAATTCAATAAAACCCTTGACATTTCTTTAACCACACTACAATGGCAACAAAATATGAATACTTATATTCACCTTCTTGTTCACATACATCTTCCCAGACCTGTGTTCACAGAGGTCGACTTGGCCAAACCCTCCACGACCCAACTCTTTAATAACCTGGAATTCTTTTCCATGTTCCTTGTGGAGATGGCTTCATGCCCTGAAAATGGGGAGATAATTTCAGATAAATGACAAATTATGTCAGAGGCAGCAACAGCAGCAGCAGCAACAGCAGCATCTCCATCTCTCAACAACAACTAATTACAAATTTAATTTGTACACTATTTTTCATTCATTGTAGATCTTTTTTCTGAAAATGAAATAAAAAATCACTTTGAAATACTATTTTTATTGAGACTTTAATCATGAAAATAATTACAAAATTCCTGACTCAAAACAGAAAAAAACTCACTCTGTCCAAAAATAACTCCCATGTTCTTTTTTCTGTTTATTGAACAACAGCGACACATTGTTGTTGACCCAAGCACCACGCACCTGTGCAGAAGTGAATGAAAAACACACACTTTGTGACAACTGGACCTCAACATGACCCTGGTATCTTACAGGCTCGAAAAAGGTTTACGAATATTTAGCAACAATCAAGCATTAAGTCAATCACATGTAGTTACAATTCTGTGTGTGTGCGTGCGTGTGCGCGCTAAATCAACATCATCGCGATTAATCTTGAAAATAATATGACTTTCCCTCAAAAATCGCAAACCGAAACATGAGTCTCATTAACCAATTCAGACAATGACCACTTTTCAGCCGATCCGAATTTTCTCGTGTGAAAGTGAAAAGAGACACTACAAAGGCAACTATGAGTTACAATGAATTCCAATTCTTTGTTCCATAAGAAAATGGTATTTTACAATATGAATTTTAATTTTAAACCGTAATAAAATCCTATTTCTATATTTTAGCAAGGTTTTAGGGGAGCATGATCTAACTTAAAGACGTGTCATAGACTGGACCCTGTTTGATGAGCCCAAAATGATTCACACCATTTGCTCAATTGGCTACACCTGTTATGTGTTCCTTTGCGCATATCCGATGTATTTTGTAACGCAAGCAAATGCGATTGATATAATATTAAGTCCAAAATTCGTTGATCGCCAAACGTTTCGCTCAGCTGCCGGGTCTCGTTTGGGAATTTCAACGAATTCCAGATTTCCGCTTGTCAGAGCACGCTGAATTATGGTATTACCGCCAAAAATTTGACGGGCTTCGCAAGGATTAAAAGGAGTGTAGTGTTGCAATAAACAAGCAGTTTAGACGTACTCATATAGTAGTAATTGATTAATGCTTACATATCCAGTTGAATGAATTGGTCTCAGTACCCTGACTGGTCATTGTCCTAAGTTGTGCACAGGACGTGAAACCCGTCAGCAGGAAACGAGAGACTGTTGGTGTAATCACTGTTTTGACTTGTTGGTTTCTGCCATGCGATGGCTAGGATAGATGTGTTGTAGAGTTTGAGATGATTTGCGGTTGGCTGCTTTGGTATCTTAACTTCGCATTTCAAACCTTATAAATTCGTCGTGTCGATCATTTTCTGAGTACAGACAAAATAACTGGTCTAATTTTTTTTCTATTTCTTTGATAAGGAGGTTAATAATGTAGGTTTGAAACCCGAAGACCTATTTCTCATCCAGCGAACTTCGGTGGATTTGAGACCGTATATATCCCACAACAAAACTGTTGAACTTCTCCCCCAGTCCACAACATAGCCACAAAGCGGTAGCCGTCAAGGGTCTCCATTACAGATCTAGTGTATTATTAACACAGGCCAATTGCCAACGCGATTGCCATCGATATGAAGAAGTGTTTCTCAGTGAGCATCCAACCAGTTGGAGGGCATTTCCAAGTTTTTCATAGTGCGTCAGCCTGACGTGGTAGTAGAAGTAGCAGTCTTGGGCAGGAGTTGTAGTAGCAGAAGCGTTTCTGGTTTGTTGCTTAACGCCGCACTCAGATTTTTCTCGCTATAAGGACGATCAACAATCTGTACAAAACAAATCCAGTCTCGACCGGACGATCCAGTGACTGACATCATGAGCATCGCAATTAGAAAACGATGGCATGCATCACCGACATTGAACCACCACGCGGGTCCCGTTAGTCACCTCTTACGATGCCAGCATGGGTTGTTGTAGACAACCAGTGAGTGAAGTTTGGTTTTACGCCGCTTCTTTAGCAATTTCCTAGCAATATCAATGGCGGGGACACCAGAAATGGGCTTCACACATTGCACTCAAGTGGGGAATCGAACCCGTCTTCGCGCGTGACGAGCGTGAACGCTTTACCATTAAAGGCTAAACCCACCGCCCCTGTAGAGAAGTAGTGGTAGTGGGGAGGTCTTTAAGATATGTCACTTGTAACGATAAGTATCGAAGGTGCAAATAATAGGCATCGAAAAAGAAATGAAACTTGAACTATAATTTTTGTCGATATCTATTATTATTGCTATTTCTCGTGAACGTAGGGAGACTTGTAGATCTCTTGGTTTCTACTCGATCCATTGTGACGTCAGGTTTCCAAATGACAGCAGATTACATCCCTGGAATGTCGGATACCGTCCACAGATCGAGTTCCGCCACACCCGCAGATAGCCATGTCAGCGAGCAGAAGACAGATACACCAGTTCTTCTGGATTGTCGCCCCTGCGTGTTCTGCTACATATAGTTACATAAGAGGTCTCTGGTTACATGTACAGCAGGTGAAGTACTGTTCCTGGTCACCGTCAGATCAATAGATGTACTTCTGACACTGTGCGAGACATTCACACATGACGTGGAGAACTTTATCCCCTGACAGTAAAGGAAGCATACGGATCTCGTGCCGATTGGCTATGGCCTGCTGGAAATGTGATCACGATTGAGCGGATACTGGAAAAACATACAAACACGCACGCACGCACGCACGCACGCACGCATCGCACGCACGCACACCCGTGTGTTTACAATGGCATAGGTACTTGTTGGCATATTCTAACGCATCAGCGTAAGGAAAACTAGCTACCACGTTGGATCGGGTGGTCAGGCTCGCTTTGACTTGGTTGACACACATGTCATGGTATAGGTCCAATCAGGGATACTCTGGCTAACAGGCCTTATAGAGGTCTCCTGGTCACACTGAATGTTGTCGAGTTAGGACATTGAATGAACAAACACATCGGTTACAGTTGTTCGAGATAACGTATATATCACATCGTGCGGGGCTTCGTGTGCCTGGCTATAGTGTTTAATACACCAAATGACGCCGGCGATATACAATAATTTTTGTTCCACACATTCGTCACAATAAGGAGGGAATGCAACATGTAAAGATTTTTAATAATACGCATCATGTATACCTATCACAATTGTATGCTTAGTTAGCTTGTTTTTCTGTTTAATCCGTATCTGTGCAAATGTTCCAGCTATATGGCGATGGTCTGTAAATAATCGATACCAAATAATCCAGTGACCAACAAAGTACGAGCATTTCGATCCACGCAATTGGGATACGATGACATCGTGTCATCCAAGTCAGCGAGTCCGACTACACCGGATCCCAAGTTGGCCGCCTCTTACGACAAGCATGGGTTAATGACGATCGCCACCCTCGTAGCGTACGGTTTGAGCGTGAACCTTCAGTAACCCTTCGGCACTCGCCACAGTATTCAAGCGGTCTGTAAATAATCGAGTCTGGACCACAATCCAGTGATCGTAACAGCAGGAACATCGATATACGCAATTGGGATAGGGATGTCAATATGACTGACTAGCGTAAACCATCTCTAGAACGTCAGACAGAGGCCAGTGGTGTGACGAAGATATGTCTTGATTAGTTTGAGACCTTCCCAAGGCTCTAGGATCGCGGGGTAGCATAGTAGTTAAAGCGCATTTTCTCGTCACAGTGATGACCCGGTTCAATTCCAAACATGAAGCCTGTTACTGGTGTCCCTGTCGTGACATTGCTAGAATATTGCTAAAGGCAGCTTAAACTCACCCACTCACTCACCCCAGGTGTCCCTTTACCACAGCTGTAGTTCTAGATAATTACAGAGTTAACATTTTGCAAAATGCTGAGCGTAAACAAACATTCACAAACTCGTTGATATATTTAATACATATAAATGGAAGTTTTACACCTCCCTACCTTGTTACTTCATGGTTACGACACTACCACACACGCACACATATTTATATCATCTAAAGGTGCTATGGGTTTCCTTTGCAGATAAAATGTTCTGCCCAATCCCAACCGAAGACCCAGGTTTGATTCCCATATGGGTCCACCTTTATGCCAAGTTTAGCTATCACCCGCAACGCCATATTGTTAGAATATAACTGCAGGCATACATGATCCCTTCAAATGGATGAGTGGCTAGTAAGGCATCTATAGGGTGCCCTTGTACAAAAACGACCGCCTTCGTGGTGTAGTGTGTGTTAGAGCGTCCGCCCTGGAGAGCGGAAGGTCGCGGGTTCCATCCCCGACCGCATCATACCAAAAGACGTTAAAATATGGTACTTGCTGGTCCCCGCCTGGCGCTCGGCATTAATGGGTACAACAAGGACTGGTCGGCTTGGAGTCAGTATAATGTGTCTGAGTGGGGTATTCATGTTTCACTGCGGCATGGTGTCTCAGTGGGCTAGCACTATAAAACCAGCTTCCAGTCTGGGCTAGTACAAGCAGCCCTCTGATACACATACACACGCATGCATGTCGTCATATGAGCGAAATATTCTCAAGCACAACGCAAAACCCAGTTTCAATTCCGCTCACCACACTTGTAGCAAAACAACCTTAGCAACCCATGTTAAGGTAGCGGAGTTACCATCACTTTCAGCCCCAGAGACACAGCAGCCACAGATTGCTCTGTTTCTCTTGCTGGAATTCAACAGACTCCTCTTAAGCGTAAGCAGAAGCATTTTGTATTCAAGCACAGAACAGCACAATTTCATATTTCATGGGTTTTTTTGTACATTATTAACTTTTTCAAAAAATATTACACAAGAAGACAAAGTCATCAATATCCCCCGCAATGGCAAAAATACTCTCTACATGAT